TCGTGGCAAGTCATGAGAGAAGGAAGCCAAGTACTGGATGATGAAGTCAAAGTTCACGTCGTTTTGCACCTACACAATGTAGCAGTGGCCAGATCGGACTGTCGCACTTGTGTCGAAGAATGCATGCTGAGCTCGACAAGACTGCTGCGACTGCGTTGGCTGGAAAGAAAGGGATTGCACAGGCCTCTCGGGCTCCCACATGGTCCTTGTCAAGAATGATGAACTCCCATTTGGGGACCTAGGGTCAGGTGCGGGATTTCTCCAATGAAGCTTCCAACCATCAGATTTCCTAAAAGATATCCAGGTGAGGGGTGCAAGACAAATGCTTAAAAGCAATCAAACTGACCTTTTTTTTTGATCTAAGAACAGGCTAAGGCACGACTTTCGTATCTTTCGGAGTCAGCCCTGCTCTTTGCCTCAAAAGTTTGCGGCGTTTCTCAAGGAAAGCGTTGTCCTCCAAAATGTCCACGAGGAATGCCTCAACATGTTGCAGGTGCTGCTGTTGCTAATTGTTTGTTATATATATGAGTCTTTTAACCAACATCCCTAGCATGGTAGCGCTGGCATCCAGGCCTCAAAGGGCAGCTTAAATAACAAAAATCGTGAAATAGGCGCACCTTCAGGTGCTCAACGCGAGCTGCGGATTCCATTTTGGAAGATGCCATCGCGAATCGATCAGGCTGAGATAGATCAAGCAAAAGGCAGTTGTCAAATGGCCAAACACTTCTCTAGAGCTATTGTTTGCAAAATAGTTGCCATGCATGAACCTGCATTCATGCAACATGCTCCAGGAATGCTTCGGCCTGATTCAAAAATTCGCAGGTAAGTCATTCGAAGGTTGAGAAACTAAATCAAACACGGGAATGCGCAAAGTCCACTAGCAAAGCTGCAGCGGGTTTGCGCACCTATCTCACACGTGTTGATCTCCAACATAGAATGGGTGGTCCTTTCCCATGCACCTAGGCCACCAGATAATTTTGGCACTGCCTGTAGAGTGATCTCTTAGAAAGCACCAAGTCCTGCACGTTTTTGGAGAGCCTTCTTCATCTCCACAACTCGATCATCATCCACATGAGGCAGCGATCAGGCGAGCTAAATTTCTCATATCAGGTCCTATATGTCGTCAAATTGTATAGGCCTATCACTCAGATTCGTATACTCTACCACTCAAATTTGTATATACTTGATGACCGGGAATTCACCCCGCCATGATCAAATGATATAATATCGTGATCTCATAATCATCATGAGATTCCAACAAAAACACCAACTTGCTCGCATCTGATCCAACGGCGGTCAAACATAAGCTTCCATCTCCTTGGCAACCCCTGGGCATTGGCTAAAATGTCCTTTGGTTGGGAAACAATGGTCGCTTTCCTAAGACTATTGTTTAAATGGTCCTCGACGCCCAGGGTATATTCATATAAGTATTTAATACAATATATATATATATAAATCAATTATATACAGTACTATAAACCAAGCTTGATCAAGATTGAGTATAAGTTAGGCGGCCCCTATGCAGCATGGACCAGTTATATATATATATTTACAGCATATAGTTATGTAGGATATACGTATATAGCGTAGTGTATTTGTTGTTTTGTTAGTCTATATATGTTATGCATGTGTGCACATGTAAAACCCCTTCAGACCACACAATGGTCGCTCATGATGCAGGACATCCTCCATTTCCAGTCTCCCACCCTGCTGGTTCTCGGGTCATGTCATATCCTCACTCAGGATGAACCCAAAAAGGACCGTGACGACATCGATAGAGGCTCTTTCTTGAATAACGCATGCAGTGGAGTTTTGGGGCGTTGGTTTTCGTACGCTTTCGTACGTTCTCGCCCGAGGTCGCCCATCACAGGGTTGTTGACACCAGCAATGGTCCCGCAGCCATGTGGGGCACTCATCCGGGTAGGTCCTCGGGCGGGGGGGTGGTGACCCGGCGATAAGCACAGTCCTTGGTGTTTTGTTTTTGGCCCAGTCCTGAAATAAGTTATATATTTTTGTCATCAGAGTTGCCAATCATCGAAGAGGCCTATGCGTATAGCTGTTGGTTTCCATCAGCGTGGAGTTTGACCCACTTTTGCCAGGAAACTTGCACGATGCCTCTTTCCCAGACAGCCAACAATCTGAGCCAGCCGGGACCAGATTTGGCCACGCCCATACCATCTACCCATCCAACTAATCCAAATACAGCCCACGAACAGGTTTCATCTTTGAGACGCTGTGAGGGTGCCTGTCTATGCCACAAATGCCAAACAAAACAACACGTGTCACATGCCTAAATGTTGCAAAGGACCCTTTAGAGGTGCATTCCCAGAGCGTTGTTGGATCGCGTGTTTGGTGGATTTCGCGCCATGTCTGACGTCTCATGTCCTTTGAAATTTGTGCAAAACCTGGTGAGCGATGTTTCTGGGCAAAGAAGCCGGGGACGAAGAAAGCGGTGACGCATCTCCAACCCAAGCGATTCCTGGACAAATCATGTGAAACCCACTGCTCCAACGGACGCAGGCCCACTGCTCCAACGTATGGGCACCGTCCTCAGGCCGAGATCAAAGTCCTCCCAGCCTGAGTCTCGGATCTCAGTCGATAGGATGTCATGTTCTGAGGTGTTCCATGGAAGCCGGTTCGCCAACTTTCGCCAACCAGTGGGCACGTGTTAAAACCCCCTACAGAAATATAGGCTCCATAGGCTTAAAGTTTCCTCAGCTTATGTTGTAGCTATTGGCACGATATAAATACGATCCGAGCCTGAGCCAAAGCAATGGCCCTCCGAGGTGTTCAGCAGTTTTCGACGCTGAAGACATGCATGGGGAAAGAGCGTTTTTGTCGGACCATGTCACTTGCTGGACCCGCTTGGCCAATGAATTGCTTGGAAGAAAGCAACACCATGAGCCACTGTGTTACGCCAAGTGCAAGACAAACCGATGCTTTTGACTGAACCGGCGATTGCCGCTCCCTCCAGGTCCCAGCGGACAGAGCGAGGTGCCAACGTGAAGTCCTCGGCGCTTGGCATGTATGTTATGTTTGAGGTGTCACGCCCCGTAGGCTTTTGGTTGTTCTTGAGCACTTCATGCAAATGTTGTGTGGTATTTGCACTGTTGCCAATGTTTTTAAGACCTCGTGCACCTTAAGACATATTCAAAAACCGTTGAACACTTATCGAGTTGGTTTTAACTGCCAAAGATCTTGGGCCAATAACTCAAGTTTATCCTTCGGCCGCTGCCCGGACCGACGCCTTGAGGCAACCCTTTGGTCACTGTCCGGGGACCTTCGGCCTGCGCCTGCCAGCACCTCCAGGTGACAGCCGTCGTACGCGGACGTCAGACGGAGTCCTGGAATGGAGTTTCACGCGAACGAATCACGGGCTGCAGATGAGATCCCCTACAGAGCTCCTGGACAGGTAAGCGTCAGAGCTCCTGTGTGTGGGCGACTTGCCTCCACGTGTGGCACTCGCCTTGATGAACTAGCCATCGCTGAGCATGTAAGGATTGGTTCAGCGCCAAGCACGTTTTGAAGCAACCACGTTCAGCACGTTGCTTCGTTTGCAGGTACCCTGGGCCGAGAGTGTTTTGCCTGAAGGCCACGCAAACAGGACTGGAACTGGCCTGTTGCTTTCAGAGTTGAATTCTGTTCAAGAGTGTAAGCTGGACACAGGTTTGGCTGTTGGACTCTGAAGCAGCTGTTTGGAAAGTCAGAAGTGCCAGTCTTTTTTGATGTCTTTGGGGCAAGGTTATGCGAGATGATGAGGCTTCTAAAACCCATAATATATAGCATCTATAGCTTTGCAGGACCAACATGTCAGGGTGTCAATAGTGCTGAAGCTTCATCATCCCACTTGATGGTGCAAGAGAGAGGTCTGACTGAGATTCAGTCCAGATGTTGGGAGGGCAAAGCTTCCTCCAGATGTGATGGTTGGTCTGAACAAGCGACGTGAACTATGATCAATTATGATGATTACTTTACCCTACCCTCTTAACCCCTCTTACATTTGAAAGCACTTTTCTCCGTGAGCAGACTGGTTTCTTCAGAAGGCAGAAGATGCGCATGGTTCAGATTGACCTTCATGTACTCCTCATGCTGCTGGGCCTGATGTACGGGACTTACTGTAAGTAGCTGTATGAAGAAGAGGTTGTCATGTTGTCATCTGTTTCATCCAAGTGATATGGCTTTTCGCCCCGGGCACTCTTGTGCCCAATCACCCTGAAATATTCTGAAATCATCATGAAAAGGGGTCCCTGGAATCCAAGCCTGCGGAGCAAGCCAATACTTCACGAATTATTTTAATGTGGTTCGTTGTTCTTTGTGAATCCGATGAGCTTGAAGACTGGTGCTTTCTGCGAACACGCAAACAGATCTCCAAGCAAAGGCACTCGTGCTTCTGGACATCAGGCCCCAAATCCATCCGCCAATGTCCAGGTGGCGCCAAAGTCCTCGCGTCGAACCCGCCGAACCGAGCCAAACTCGCCGAACCTCCTGCGGAGCGGAGAACACGAGCAAACAAGTTCGCCAAGTTGGGGGTTCATCGGCGGAGGCTTTTATTCAGCTTGAACATCAGGGGCGGTTTGGTGGTTGCATGTGGTTGCTTGAAAAGATGAGGGATGTGAGATTCGGGCGGCACGGATCCTGCTTTGAGATGTTGCGGCACCACTTGGATGGCCAGATCCCATCTACAAGATGGCGTTCATTGTTCGATCACTAGACTAGAGATCATTCATGATCATTAGTGAAGATGATGAAGTGCCCACGGCCGGCTTGGGCAGCCAGACTTCCAGACATCTCACTTGACACTGCCGTGGCTCCCAGAACTGGTGCGATGCATAGGAGAGATGGGTCCCCAAGTAGTGCAAGCCTTGGGTTGGTCACAAGTGACCTGATACAAGTGAGAGAGAATGTTCACATGTCTAGAGGTGCCAGTGCGAACAGTGGGAGGGGTTTCTGCAACTCATTCAATCAAAGGCACCGCCTTGCACAAAATTTTTCGCGGCGTCATGGTTACTGCTTGGCCCTCAGATTGTCAGCAAACTTGTGTACAACACGCGCATGGCTGAGTACCTCACGGTGCTGTCTTTGGCGACAACCGAGAGAGGCATGGGGATGCTGAGAATGTTGACCTTCAATTTTTGGTCCTGCTTTTGAGAGGCAGCTTTCTGAGATTTTAGCCGGGGCGCAGCAGTTTCTATCGATGTTTGGTAGAGAAAAGCAGATCCCTTCTTGTATTGCCAGTCGAGCAGGTTGATGCTCACCACCCCGTCGAGCCGCTCAGGTGCTCCCTGTTCCCTGCGAGATCCTCCAGGATGCCGCGCATGCCCAGGCCCGGCAGCCGTTGCACAGGCGGTTTCACTGGCGTGACGGAGAGTGAATCAGTGGAAGGCACGAAACCGGTGGACACACCGGTTTTTTCGTTTGGTGGAACCTGGCTCAAGGTCAAGTGGAACCAGCGGTTCCCTACAATTTCCCTACTAAAAGATGGCTTCAAGAGTCTACTGATCCAAGAATTGCTGGTTTTGATGGTCAACTGTGTCTATTGATGGCTTAAGGAGCCTTTGGATTCTCAACTGCCCAAGCAGGAGCAGAATAGTCATACCAGGGGAGATAGGTGTTCACTCCTTTTCGTTGGGGCAAATGGATAAGTCTTTTTTGCATTATTCTTGGCCAATTGGTGGTAAACTTGACCTCATCAGTGAACAGAAAGGGGTCAAAAGCAACAAGAACCCTTCTGACCAGCAACCTGTGGGCCACAAGTTTTCCAGTTGCACACGCAGAGAGGTACCAAACATCTCAACACTTCCTAAAGGGCCTGGTACGAAATCCCAAATCCATTCTGAGTAGAACAAATAGGTTCAAATAGCGCAAATAGATATCTTTGAGACTACTGTAAGTGTTTGCCTTACAGGAAGCTTTTTGACTCGCTTGGTCTTGCCAGGTCGTCGCTTGGGATGAGCGCTTTCATGTGTCAGCCGCCGGGGACCCCGCGGGACTTGAGGATGTGCCGCGGTCGGGGTGGCATTTGAACCAGTGTAGATGGACTCCCTGAAATGATCATGGATGGCCTGTTGGACGACCATTTTCATCCATTTTGTATGATTCTTTTGGGGAGTGTGCCAGCATGAGTAAGTTGATAATGATAACCTCCCTGCCTCCCTCCTCCATGAACCACCTTTTTGGAACTCTTAAATTATACTAATACGACATATGTTTGTATACACCTGGATTTGGGGTTGCTTGAGATTGTCATGCAGGCAATGCGGCAGAGAATTCTGCTTTGACCAACTGTGGCGTTTCCAGTCAGCACTTCGGACTTGCGCAAAAGGGCGGAGAGAGAGGTGCCTTTCCGGTGCCATTCAGATGTTTGTGACAGGAATCCACATCATTCCAACATCTTCAGATCTCCGGCCCTGGTGGCCCTGGCGGCCTGGCGGTCGGAGATGGCCCGGTTTGGCCTCACACTCTCAGGAGGCCGATGCCGTGGTGAATGCCCAGGTCCGAGAGAACGGCCAAGCTGGACCGGGAGATAGGAGGGCGGAGCTTGGGCCCTTTTCGGGGTCTTGGCACATGTGCATTTGGAAGGCTGAACGGTGAACAGCATGTCTCGGAGAGTCATGGAACGGGAAGAATAACACCCAGAGAGAGAGAGAACGCCTGTCCTTTCGTTCCAACACTAGCTTGGGTTTGAATGAGGGAACGGCCTTTTTATTTCTTGGAGACCTGGAGATCGACCTTCCAAACTCGGATTTATATTATTTGATGAGTGATTTGAACTTATGTGATTTGTGTCACCCACCGATCCAACGAATGGTCTTGGTATGTCTTGCGTTCAAGCTGTCGCTCAACCTTCAACGGATTCGTTCCACTCGGCGGCCTTTGCTCCGGGCGCACCCGCCCAACACTCGTGGCACTCGGTGGACGCCAAGGCACAGAGCTCTGCCTTTGGAGCAAGGGACGCCACGGGTGTGGAGGACCCTCACGATCGACAGCGATCGGAGTCGGGGAGGATCAACGATCCACGGAGAACGCGGAGGGAGACGGTGGAAATACGGAGCCCACAGGTGGCCGGCTCCGCTGGGTGGATTGCTTCGAAGATTGATCCCCTTGCAGTTGTTGTGAAAGGTCTGTAGTCACTGTACTCATTGGCTTTGTGGGTCAATGGAAAGGATATCAAAAACATACTCCAGGGTCCAGGATTCGGTTCATTTTGATTCCATGAAGAGCACGAGAGCGGCGATGGCACCCCCAAAGGATCTCTTTTTTTGGCACATAAGGCAAGCAAGAGCACTTGTGAGCTTGCTTGATTTGCTTGCCAGGCTTGCCCTGAGGTGTTGCCGTTGTTATCCCAGACACTCAATAGATAGATAGGCCAGTAGCTGTTGGTTTAGTTACTGGTTGCTTTTGATCCAGGGTTTTTGTTGTAGTTATACCCCTGAAGCCCACCTCGGAGATCTTCTCACTTGGAACTCCTGGGATGGTATGTTTTTGCGTGTTCAGCTTTCCTTTCGTTGGTTTTAGGCTTTTCTAGGGCTTTTGGCACCTTCCATTGATGTATATACCTTTGGCTAAAAGCTTGCCAGCTCCACTTGCCTGGGCAATGTTCATGTCAAGTGGAGCCCCTGTCCGCTGAGATTTGGCCCCTCCCCACGTGGCCCCGCGCTTTCCACACCTCAGAGGCAGTCAAGGATGTGATGCCCACGGAGATGAGTAGCTTTGAGGAACTCTTGCACCAGGCGACCGGCACGGCAGCACCACACAGTGTTGACACTGCTTGAAAAAGGCCATACTGGGAAAATAGATTGCTACATAGCTTGTGAAATCTTGCGGTACACAGCTGCAGGGATGCTAGGCGTCCTAATATATGTTTGTTTGATGTTGTACTGGTTTTTAGACACCCCACAAGGGTCCAAGTTCCACTCATGGAGTAGCACCTTTCAAGGTGGTGACCATGTCGTCCGGTCCGACCGCTCGTGTGACGTGAAGATTCGCAGGCCGTTGGGTCCGCACGATGGTTGCGTCGAAGAATCGTCAGGTTTTAAGCCATCATTGGTGTGGGGGTGGTTTTAAGCACCCAGGAGTCATTGGTGCCTTCGGATTCTATCAGATTCATTCATAGGACGACTGTAGCCCGCAGGCAAGGGCAGCCAGCCAATAGGCCTACTACGAGGCCTACTATGTCGAAGATGGCCATAGCACGCCATAGCGGGATCCAAGTGTGTCTCGTGCCGACCTGAGCTTTCTAGGTCTCCCTCTTTTCTTTGTTCTTTCCTTTCTTTGGGGGTATCGCTGGATGCTTGGGACATAGCTGGGAGCACCTGATGCTTTCTTTTTTCTTCTTTATTCCGTGTTCTTCTTTTTCTCGCGTTTTCCCGGGTGTCCCGCGCCATAGCTGGGAGCTCCATCCTCTTTCTCTCTCTCTCTCTCTCTTGATGTTTCGCTGGATGCTTGTGTCATAGCTGGGGGCATCATGTTTTCTTTATTTTCTTTTTCGTTCCTTTTTCTTTAATTTCTTCTCCCTCCTTTCCTTGTTCTGTTCTTTCCTCGCCTCCTTCTTACTTTGAGCGCAGCGTACTGGTTTGGTCCCCTTTCCACCTGGTTCGGCCTTAGGCACCTTTCCCGTTTTCTTCATGCTTTGTTTGTCTTCATGTCTCTCCTTTTTTCATGTCCTTCCATTTGTTCCCGAATGCGTAGCGAAGGGTTCCCGTTTATAGTTGGGGGTCTGGGGGTTGGAGCTGTGTTTGCATGGCTTGCGTCGTGTCGTCGTCTCTCGTCGTTTGTCGTCGTCGTCGCGTCTCAAATTTGCTGCCATTGGGGAAAGCTTTTGCAAGTGACTTTGCATGGATGCGTCATACGTTAGTTTGCGCCGCTATTCCATTGTGATTTGCATGACAATGACATGTCGCGCAAGAAACGTGATGCATTTCGCTGCACAGGCGCAGAGTTTTGTGAGATCTGCAGTTTGCTGCGCAGTTCCATTGGGATCAGCGTGTGGGAGAGTCGTGTTTTTGGGGTGTTGGATGTGGCCGTGCCATTGGGATTTGCGTTTCAAAAGCTCGGTTTTCGTGACAAGTCTCAGCTGAAATGGCGATTTTGGTGGATGGCAGTGTGCTCAGAACGGGTCGAAATCATTCCAAACGTGTGGTGTGGTGCAAATGAAGCTCACATGAGGTGATATTGTCACTTTTCGCGGCAGGCGCAGGACTTTGCGCGGGTTTTGAGGCGTGGAAGTGCGATTCTCGTGGCAGGCGCAGGGAATCGTGAGGTAGCGAGGTGTGACGGAGGTGACATTTCGTGGCAGGCGCAGTACTTTGTGCGCGTTAGACGTGTGGACGCGGAAAGATTCGTGGCAGGCGCAGGGAATCGTGAGGTTGTGAGTTGTGGTAGAGGTGAATGTCGCTGTCACATTGGGATTGGCGTGTGAGCGGATGTTGTTTGGAGGGGCTGGCATCGCGAAACTGCTTGGCAGGGCTGCGTGATGTGTGTGCTCCGATGGGTGTTTCCGCTTGACTTTTGGAGGAAGTCTCACAAGAGTGTCCTACAAGAGTGTCCCACAAGAGTGTCCCGCAAGAGTGTCCTATAAGAGTGTCCCACAAGAGTGTCCTACAAGAGTGTCCCACAAGAGTTTCCTACAAGAGTGGCCCACAAGAGTGTCCTACAAGAGTGTCCTACAAGAGTGTCCCAGAAGAGTGTCCCACAAGAGTGTCCTACAAGAGTGTCGTTTGGACATATGTAGTTTTTCGAACGTATTTGCATTCGGGTTCGTGGGTTCCATCTTGTTTTCATTTGCGTGCGCATGTGCTATTGGACTGGATATGGCAGGATAGTGATCTGCCACCTTTCCGGGCAGGGGCTTTGTGTGGGACAGAGCGCGGAAGCATCCGCTGGCCATGGATGTGTGCCTGCGCCCTCCGGGGATTCAATGCACTGTATACTATAGACACTGTTCTTTCCCACAGGTTTCATCAGCGAACGTGCTTCTTTTTGAGCGTTCGTGTCTTTTTTGTGTGCGTGTGTCTCACTCAGTTGGGGAAGGGGTGACGGTCTACTGGTCTACTGTTCCTCATTGAGGGTTCGGGGCTGGACAAGAATCGCGGCCTCCTTCAAAGAATCGCGACTTTTTGCAAGACATTTCTTTCCACGTTGGCCTTCCTGCAGGCAGATGCTGCAGTTGCTAGCAGCCAGCCTTTACAGGTGGGGGTCTTTGGCACCACTGGAAACTTATGGAATAAAACTGCGGTTTGGTAGAGGAGTTGGAGAAAGGACTTCATGAGCGTCCTGGTGTGGAAGTGGTGCGCCTATTTTTGTGCCAGGCCGAGACCATAGGATCCATAGGCCAGAACCATCCAAGATTCATCCATCACTGCGGACGCTGAAGGTGTAGTTGCTCCAGTTGTGCTATGGTGACATTTGCCAACCACGCCCCCTTCTTCAGGCTCAAGATGGCCCTGGGCGTTCATCGTCCGCGGTCAAGCCATGTTGGTCAAGCCAGTCAAGCCGACCAGGATTGGGTTTGATGAGAGGGATGTTCCTTCCAGGTCGGACAGTCCAGAGGGATGTGATGATTCAGACTGCCGAGAAGCTCCAGATGAGAGCACCGAGAGTTCCCGCAGCGAATCCAGGGTCTCATCGGACACCGAGGTGGCTTTCCCGGACACAGAGGTCGGCCAGGTGACAGTTTCCAACCTAAAGCTGCCCCAGGTGCTGCTGCAATTGGTGACCCGCATGGAACTGACAAGACCAGAGGTGCTGCGAGTGACTCCGGCCTACTGTGCCTTCCAGAAGCGCGCGGTAGCCTTTCGTTCAGAGCCTGGGTGGTTGTTTTAAGAAGGTGTTTCTTAATGTTTCTTACCACCCCATCACAATTAGACATGCTTGTCAGTTATCCCGCTTACCCCATCTTACTCCTAGTTAAATGTTATTTTTTGTGTGTGTGGCATAATATAAATCACCAACCAGGACACCGGCGTGGATTTGCACCGCAAAAGCTTTGTGAGCCAGGGAATCCAGTGTTTTTGGTCTCACTCCTGGCGTGGGAACTGCTTCAACAAGTTGCTCACCCTCTTTGTGCTCTACAATGGCGTGCCAGCCATTTGCTCGGGCTGCTTCATGGCCATCCTTGCCGCAATCCTTTTTGTACTCCTGCCTGAGATGCCTGGCCCGACCCGGCAAGAATTGCGTTCTTCCCCATGGTGCCTGTGTATGGGCTTCAGCAGCACCATATTGTTGTTCCTTCTTTGGCGGCCACATCAGCCGGTCTTCTTTGACCGCATTTGCATCAACCAGAAGGACAAAAAGCTGAAGATGGAGGCGATTCTGAGCCTGTCAGGAATGTTGAAGAGATCTAAGGAGATGCTTGTGCTTTGGGATTCCACGTGGACATCGAGGTTGTGGTGTTTATTTGAGCTGGCAGCCTTCATGAAAAGTAAGGATTCTAATTGCAACACTCAAATTCTGACCGTACAGCCCACCTTCATCGGTCCCTGCTTCATCGCCATTTTTGTCATGTCCTTCTTGGGCATGCTTCCAATCACCTTCTGGATCTACTTCTTTGATGCTCAATGGCTCATGAGCCTTGCTGGAGCCTTGTTTGCGATGTGCTTGCCACCCGCCTTGGTGGCCAGCAAGGCCTTCAGGAGTTACTTCAACTCTGTGGATCTCCTGGAGCATCAGCTTCGCACGGCCTCGCTGGATGAGGCACACTGCAGCTGCTGCGACTGCCATCATGTATCGGCCCGCGGGTATCAGTTGATGTGCGATCGGATGGTGGTGAAAGGGTGTGTCAAGATGTGGTTTGGAAGCCAAGAAGCTTTTGAGAAATGTCTCCATTCGGAGTTGTTGGAGACCTTGTCTTGGAAGTTGCGCTATGGCGTTTTTACCAAGAAGTACTGCCTGGCGATGACTATGCCCATTCTTTGGGGATTCATGGATGTGTTTGTATCTTGGGCAGTAAATGCCTGGTGGGCTTTGGCAGTTGAGACATTGTTTTTTGGCCTTTTCGTTTGGTCAATCTGGATGCCTTTGACTTTTGAGTGGTTTGTGTACTTTGCAAGACGTTTCGGTCCAAAGGGCAGCACTTGTTTTCGTGACCTGCTGCGAAGCATTCTGGTGGTCCTCCTTGCCATGCCCATGGTCATCATTGTCACAGCCATCTATGTAGGCCACACCTTTTTGGCCTTCAATTTTTATTCCATGGAAAACCGCTGCTGGGTGAAAGTTTGGAATATGCTTTGCCGTTGTTTCATTTGGTGGCTATATATATATATTGGAAAAGTTACAATTGACCGGCAGCGCCGTCCAACCAATGCCTGGAAACCCACAATACTTGTGTAGTACATGAGTAACCTGTTGGTTGGTCCTGGTACCCAACAATTTGGATGGTTAGTTTCAATGTACACTCCCTGGAACTCACATGGTTACGTGGAGTTCATCCATTGTTTGGTATCCGGATTTCATGGTCTTCCTTTTGGGGCCGCCATCCACGTACCCATGTTACTTCCAGGAGAGTACTCGTGCGATCTCATGAGCCTGAGGCTATTTGGCATCATTGAACTTGCTGGTTGCCTTGCTCGTGGCAGCCGCGATTTCACAACTGATTTTTTACACCATTCCGGGGACAAGAGCGGGTCCGGGTGGACCAATGGTTGGCCACCATGCAGGTAGGTTGTGATCATCGGTGATGTCACTGCAGGAGGGGATAAAATATGATGCCTCCTGCAGAGAGGGAGAGAGGCAGAGAGACTGTTTGCTAGGCACATGTGCATATGAAGCTTCGAGTAGGAGGATAAGTGACACACTTCACACTTAGATAGATGGCTTGCAAGAGCATGCAGGAGCCAGATTCATAAAATGTCTCACCGGTGCATTAGCACTTTAAAGATTATAGTGCTAATTAGACCTTGGCTGAGCAAACGGGAAGGCAATGAGTCCGCCTTCAACTGAAAGGTTTCAACACAAGTGCAGAAAACCCTGCAAAGGATGGAACAAATTGTTATATATACTTAAAAGCAGGGACCAACAGCGTTTGACCTGCCAGCTGCACTTAGATGCCCAGGTGCGGTCAAAAGCAGGTATGTTTGCACAAGCACTGCATGAGCGTCTCCGTTGGCTCTCGTCTCATGCAGGCTCCGAGAGCCCCCTGCATGTTTAAAGACCAGAACGTGTTGTGGATCCCTTAGAAACATGATGGACACACACACACACACACGTAGCCGTATGTAGCCGTGAATCCTATGCACAGAAATTGAGCGCTCTCTTGACTGAAAGAACCTGAAATACAGCCTAACAAGCCTCTAGCAACGAGAGAAAAGGCCGAACAAGAGAACAGAACACCCTGGTAGACAGGGTGTGGCACCTAGCCAGATAGCGGTAGTCGGCGCCCCCTTGACCGAAAAAGCCTGAAATTCAGCCTAACGAGCCTTTAGCAACGAGAGAAAGGCCGAACAAAAGAAAAGAAAAACCAGGAACAAAAGGTGTGGCACCCTGCAGTAAACGTAAGGAAAGTAACCCAGGGCATTGTTCAGTGTTAGAGGGAATTAATGATCATCCGTTTCAGTTGGCCCTACGGCATCGATTTCAACTTCCGCAACTGAAGTGCTCTGCCGCGAAACGCCTTTGAAGGTTTTGGACTTCGGCTGCGGTGATGGGCGCTACTTGAGGCGAGGAGCGAACTTCCCGCGGAGCCGGACACCCGCGGAAGAGTGATATGGAATCTTACGTCGGACCTCGTGAGGCACAGAACTCTCCAAGAGACCATGCATGGCAATATGCTGTTGCGGGTGCTTTCGTTGGCGCTGGCAAATTGTCATGGACCTCCTTGTGGTCCTGGCATTTTGTCACGCGCTTCACCCTTTTCGCGGAGCTCGACTTGGCAATTGTAACATTGTTTTTAATTTTGTAACGGAGAGGTTTCGGGAGACTCGGCGTAATGCAAACATGGTTGGGTAAAAGAGGCTTTCCTTTGCGGATGGATTTCATCCCGGGAAATTCTGGTGTGGATGACAGAGACCCGGTTTTCATCCGGGTGCTGGATGGAATTCCCTGGATGAAGCTTTAGCCTTGTCATGGTTTTGGGTTCGTTTTGTGGATCCGGAAATCCCTCCAACGGAATGAATATTATATTCCCTCCACAAATCAATCTGCATCAATACTGTAGTGGTCCCCTGTGCACGCCGAAACGCAGGCAGTTCTTGCGCAGCGCCGAGGCTGCGACTTTCCGGTCGAGGGCGGCTTTCCAGTCACAGGAAGTCACCCGAAGAGATAACATAGTATGGTTCAAGGCTAGTCCAATATGTTGGGGTTGAGTGCAGGCAAAGGGTATCGGTATTTCTTCTAGTTTCACTTGTTCAAGATGTTGGCTCACTCCTGAAGATTTTCAATTCAGTCAGAACCTTGTGAACTTCCTTGTGAGAAGTTCCGGAAAACTGACTCGTATATATAATCTTGTATATACTTGTATGGCTCTTATGTCGGGTCCCTTTGGCTAGAGGAGAATGCGGAGCTGGGTTGAGTCGTTTGGTCTTGAAAGTTTTTTGGATGCGGTGGATGCCCCAAAGGACGCTACTAGGAGCAAAGGGCATGGCATCGCTACTAGGATACTGGAGCAACGACGCTACTAGGGGCTCCTGGCCTTACTACTAGGAGCCAGGACGCTACTAGGAGCTTTGGAGAACCGGGTTGGGTACGGACTCGGACTCGCATGGATGCCCCGCGCCAGTGTAGCGTTCCCCCCAAAACTTGCCTGTACTTGGATCCTGTAGGGGTGTAATATGGTGTAATCTATATCATTATGAAACCAAACTTGCGTTCTCATTGGCTTTTCCCTCAAAGCTGCAGACTTCAGCATCAAAATCGTGTTTTCTTGTTTCATTAAGTACCCGCTAATGGGCAATAGGTGTTTTCATGTCGAACAGTTTTGGAACACATACTTCTGTAAAGCGGCCACCCATGATGGTGTAACCTGCCCGGGTGACTGGAGATACCAACTCCCTGCTAACTGCTAGCTATGGATGCAGGGAGTTGTCCTGCCCCTCCCGAAACATCACAACGGACACTTGGGTCTTGGATTCTGCATGCGTTTCGTGTAGGTGAATTTGTTGCCCAGTGAGGTAGAGGACCATGGTCAATTGGGGAACCATGGCCCATCTAGCATATCTATCAAGAGCATGTTGCTACTAGCGCCACTTTGTAAGCGAAAGACTTGACCGAGCCGCGCCTCCCAGGGTCTTCACCCGCGGCGTTTGTTGCGAGTGGTGGCTTATGAGGTCTCAGTGCGGGTCGCCCAGTTCATGGAGGTAGCTGAGGTACCTACACAACATTGCAGGACATAACCCCCAAGGCGACCAAAGGGTCAGATAGATGTGTTTCTTTGGGTCTTCGCAACTCTTCGCATGATCCTTTTGTTCAGGATGTGTTTCATTCACTTTATATACAGTGATAAAAATGATAAAAGAGGTAAACAAATACGATCAGGTCCTGCATTGTTCAGACAAAATGCCAGCCGCTTCACCTGCGGAACCTTTGCTCATCTCGATCTTAAACTGGCATGTCACCAAGCAAGAAAATTATAAAAAGGTGACATATGCGGCAAAAGACCTAAAGTTTGTTCAGCTGGAAGGTGACACGTGCATTCATGCAATACAAAGACAATGCTAATTATGGTGCACCTTACATCGAATGGTGCTAGAGCCTATACCACAAAATATAGTATATATATTTTTTTTTAAAAAGAAACATATCGCAGACTTGCTTGTGGCAATGCACTGGAACGACGCAGCAACGCCATGTATGCATGAAACACAGTAAAAGGATAAAAGGTGTCAAAAGCAGCGATACCACAGAAGGTTGCAAGCAAAAACGTTCCTTTTCTTTACTTCTTGACAGAGTAGCAGTTCCCATTTGCATGAGTACACCGCCCAGTATCTGTAAAACTGGACAACATTTTCAGCAAAAGGGTTAATTAATATCGTACAAGGAATATACGCGTTAATGTGAAGTTCGGATGAAGTTTGGGCAGTAGGATCCTACCCGTGCGTTATGAAAGAGCGCAGAGTGGGTACAGTAAATGTTTTTCTCGTACGCATGCTGAATCGGGCATGCGTTGACCCGTAGGCTTGTTAAAGTCTCCCTCACATGAACTTGAAACAAGACTGGAACATGCTACTATTGTGGTTATCGTCACAATCCTCCAATAGATACCAGTCGGAAAGTGGCCATTTTGTTGAAGCCGGCCACATTCCATTGAAATAACGATCATGGTAAAAGAGCAATCAGCTAGATCAGTCGCTATAAGGTGGACACTTTGAACACCTTTCGACACCCTGGGTGGCCAAAGAGGGATGTGGACAGAGGCATGGTTTTCCCTGTCAGACATCCACACCTGAGGCATAAATATGTGCTGCTCAGGCAGGACCAAAGGTTTGGCTGTTTTAAGGCTTGACAATGACTCTCCAAGGGCCTTTGCCGCACCGAAGGTGTTGAGGCGTCAGAACCTTTTTCACATAGTATCGGCCCAATAGCACCTAGTGCAGTGCTCAGTGGTTTTAAGGGGACCTTTTTGAAAAGTCACAGGCACCAGAAAGTGATTGCCGTTTTTTCCCAAACTTGATAAATCGGCGTTGGACCTTTTAATTCCGAGCAACATTTTCCGAACACGGGCTCATCTTGGGGTCAACTTGGCCCACAACTTCGACTCAACTTGGTGCCAACTCGAGCCAAATGGACCCAAAGATGAGCCCATGTTCCGAAGAGGTTGCCCCGGAATGTCCAATATAGCCGGCTTCTTTTAGGTGCGTGTGAAAAGTTTAATAACTGATGGTTTGCAGATATTGTTTGGGTTTGTGACCGCCAAACAATCCAGCTCGAGCACGATCGAGCCCAACATGCTGCGCTCTTGGTGATGGGTGCTTGTCGCGGAGCAACATGAATATATATATATATATATAATATACTTGCCGGCTCGATACTAACTAATTGTATACAGACAGAATGCCCATGCCCATCACACCAACCTTCCTGGACATTCCGTCGTGACTATCCGAGTAACCTCTCATGGTTGGGCCAAATGGTGCCTTCCAGCTCCAGAGCCATAGAAGAAAGTTCGCAGTTCGCAGCCGTGCAAAATGGTGTGATGCAATCCTCGAAACCAAATCCCCGGCCACTGAGATGTTGCTTGCTTGGCTTTGGTGGTCAGTAGCCTTTTGTTTTCATTGTCCAAACACGATCCCGGTGTTTCATCGGTAGCCGAGGCTGAAGCCTTGCGAAGCTTCCACCTACAGGAGGGGTCTCCCACCTGCCGGATGTGGTTGTAGAACTGATCATGTTGACTGCTGATCAATGAATAGGGAGACGTTTGACAAGCCTGGTTCTCAGTCTAATAGGGCAGCCTGACTAATCAAGAGTCAACATCACGGGCACATGCCAAGTGAATGGTTGTTGAGCGAGAGAAGCTCCAGCCTCCATTTTGAGGGGAGTTATACAATAAGACCCTGGAAGCCGTTGGCAGTTGCAAGCTGAATGTGAACCCAAAACAGCCCAAGAGAGACCATTCCCACATGGGTGGGGTTCCGTTCGACCAGAATCAGCAGAATGTCCACATGGACTGTTGCGGAACATGTCCACATGGCCAGTGTTTATGTTTCTGGCACCTTTTTGAGATATTGCGGAAATTGTAGTTGGGGTTGTTTTCAAGAAGCCAAGAAACCATCCTCACAATGTAGCGACAGGGGCGGAACAGCCCGAACCAACTTTGTCGGCAACCATGTAAGGATTTGCTAGGAGATGGTCATTGGTCCTGGGTAGATCTTCAGGTCGTGTTTTGTGTTTTGTGGTTTTCATTCTGCACAATGCTTGCTTTGGGGCACGGTCTTTGGTGCATGTGGACTCTCTTGGAATTTGTCACAGGAGCTGGTTGCAAGAAGTCGGGATTGTGTGGTTTCTGTCTTGGGGACCCCTTAAAGATCCTGGAAATCGTTTGCAGGCCAGTTGTTCCTGTGTGACGTCCTCACTTTGAGGAGCAACAATGCCATAAATCGCCTCACCAGCTAAGGAAATGGTGATTTCGAGTTTGGATTTGTCCCATTGTTCCCTCCTGTAACGACTTCCTGTTGGAGACCTTTTTGTCGCCAGGCTCAGCGGGAGGGCTTGGAAGCTCAAGCTCAGGAGCTGCGCGTCTCCGCCGCACGTGGTTCGCCACTGGAATGGTCAAAGGAGGTCAAAACATCCGTGTCAGCAAAGATGCAACCCATGACTTGGGTCTTTGAGGAGTTGGGTTTTGCTCAGGGTGAGGCTATGTTTAGTTTCCCTATGGGGCATGGGTGAATCCCCCTCTGAGGAATGTGTTTTTCCAGCTCTTCAAGCAAATCCAAGGCATTGTGTATTGTATACAAAGAAAAACAATATATATTTATTTATTTATTTATTTATTGTTTTACATCTCCAGTCTTTTGCAGAGCTTTGGGAGGCTAGTGTCATCAATCAATGTCCGTTGGTTGAGTGCTGTTTGTACGGAGGAATGGGGAGTCCTGATGTAGCTTCTTCGCGGTTCACAGGCTGCATCTTTGGCTTAGGAGGTGCCTGGCTTTGGGGCTTTTGGTTTTTCTTCCATGAGTGATGAAGTACTTACGACAGCGTGGGCGTGAAGTTCCGGTCATGCTGCGCTTCCGCGCCCTCCGGTTGCGCGGGGACCGCAGGAGGTTGGAGCTGCACTCGTTCCACTTGAGGGACGCAACCTCCGCTTGGAGTCTCATCCTCAGGTGAGAAAGGAAGAAGCCCCCCCCATGTAAGAAATGTACTTTTTTTCGCATGTCGCATGCCAAGTTTCGCCTGTAAAACGCTGAAGAAAAACAACACGAAAACCCCCGATGACTCTGGAAAACCCTTGAGATGCGAGAAGTGGTGTGAAGAAAACACGTGCACACACAAAAACATAAAACCTACTACTGTTCCAAATTGTCAGGGTCAATTCATGACTGCTCTTGGTGGTTATGTGCTTGGACAGAGGTGGGAGGGCTTGGACCGCTGTAGCCTTGTGCTACACCATTGTTGTGCCACATGGTTTCCAACTTGCACCAGGCATGACAACGATAACAAAACGATAACAATGACGATGAGACAGCAAGCCTAAAACACCTTTCCGTAGGCAGGCCACCACATGGGTGTAGCTGGAATGAAGTGTGCCTAATGTCTTCATGTCTGCAAGGTTCCACACACCCCATGCATGTAGTGCACACACTCCATGGTACTACATTTGTTGCAGTTAGTCAACGTGCTGTAAAACATACGGAGGAAAAGAAGAAAACGTCAAAAGTTGTATAGGGAAAGGTAGAGGGTGTTGTACACAACCTCAGGTGGCGCCGCTACTAGTAACAAAGGGCATTACTACTAGTAGCAGGAAGCTACTAGTAGCTCCTGGCACTACTACTGGGAACAAGGATGGTACTAGTAACAACGTATAATAGAACATTACATGAACAATCCAACAACGCATGTTGTTTATCCGAAATGCGGTGAAGGTCTCTTCGGGTGCGAGTTTGACTGATTTCTTTTTCTTTGCCCCCATTCATCACATGTCATCACCATTTATTTGGTCTTTGATTGTTGCCGATTTGGGTTGTTCCTTCGAGACCCTTGCCCGCAAAGCTCGTTCCCATGGAACAGAGATGCAAGGTCCATTTGACCTCTCGTTTTACAGATGTTTTTGCCTGGCCGAGGTTTCGTGGTCGTTTGATGTCGTTTCTGTTACTCCGTCTTTTGTGTGGTCATTTTGTTCTTGTCCTTCGAAGTGTGCAGTGGTTTCGTTTTTTGTCCGTTTGCAGTTGATCAGTACTTCGAAAGTCTTTGTCGTGATGGGTTTGACGACTTCCTTCAGTTTGCGCTAGACACTGCACTAGTCAGCGGCAGGTCATGGATCAATTCTGATGTTGTGGCCGGTCACGCACTGTGGTTGGCCCCCCGCTGCATTTTCTTCAGTATATAAACTTTAATTGTTCAGATCAATCCTTGCTGATACACTCCGATTGAAAAAGAAATCACTGCATGTCTACTGCTGGAAGTGTAGCCCACGCCCCAAAACCTGGTAAAGGGATGGGTAACCTGCACATGGTGTGTCCGTACCATTATGCTTGGTAGCAGACCTTGCTTGGTAGCAGAACAGTTGGATGAAGACCTGGTAGGTCGGTGCTGTTGGTGTATCAACATATTTGTTCAACGAAAGTTTACAATTTGTTGCCCCTATTTGGGAAAGTTGTTTTCCAGGGTGTCACATGGTAACATGTGGTATAGGCACCCATGTTCGGACCAGAGTGTCCGGCATGACATCGACTTGGACCGATGTGCGAGAGGTAGTAACATGTGGTATAGGGTTGCAGGAGTGGTTGCAGGCTTTGTCTGGCATGGTTTTGGCGGTTTTGGGTTCAAGGCTGTTCGAGCCTAATAGTTTTTCAACTAAAAGGCAGGTTATCCTCCAGTTTTGTGTCCTTAGCGGCTTGAACCGAATCGGCTGTTTCCAGTCAGCCGCCACCACATTCCTGAAGCAAACAGCAACGACAAATATCAGAAACAACGGGCCAAACGTCGTCATACTTCATCCAGAAAAGCCCTCAGCACTGCCAAGTAGGGGACCTTCAATATTCAGGGGGACGTTTTTCCCTGTGTGAAGCCAACCCACCAAAGATCCAAGTGTTTGCTCCCCAGACTCTCCCCCCACTCGTCCGCCACCGTCATTGCGGACGGACGCGACATGGGAGGGAAGCGTGTGAACATGGCACGGACGGCATGTTTGGTGCTGTGCCTTGCAGCTTTGCCAGCTTTGGTTGCTGCCCAGGAAGGCGAGGAAGCGAACCAAGGGGTCGTAGACGGCCCATAGGGGTTGAGACCCGGATGGGAGGTGCAAGTGGTACTGGTAGGCTTTTGGTGGAGACAACGTGAGATGCTCAGTTCTAATCTTTGGAACTGCATGTGGCTCCCTGGCTGCCCTCAACCTAGTGAGTTGCAGCACATGTTGCACCGTGGGGGCCTATGAATATATGTTTATATAAGATATGGTTTTTGATATACAACTTTAAGAATCGTGTTTGCAAAGACCTGAGGCCAGTTTCACATTGTTTACGCATCCTAGCATTTAAGTTTCCTTAGAATCTCACAAGGATATTTTTGAATAAGGCTTGGAACACGGACCACTGAGAAGTTCCAACACACGCTTTTGAAGACGCTCACGGGGCCGCAGAAGTTCGACGCCGCATGCCTGAGGTGAGACGAATGTGATCAGACAGGTCATTGAGAAGGAGCGTTCGTCCAGGTGGCGCAGGTCTTTCATGCCAAACAAGAACTGCATTCACAAATCAGCGAGACATAAAAAGCCCTTGTGTTTTGAATATTATTTTGAAAATGTGATTGCTGCAGCAGTTTATGGACTCCCTTCAACCTCGCCAACTGTACCATCCGATACACCATTCTTTGAGTGGTGATGGAGGAAGTTTATTTTTGTTTTTTTTTGTTCCGAGCGTGTGGTGATGTGGTCCCGGAACTGACCATTGGTTACTCCGAGTTCCAAGCAGGACACCCTGGACCGGAGAATGGGCAAGACCCCAATGGGAAGATTTGGGTACGTGGGTTTAACGGAGGTAGGGGTATGCATGGATCACGGATCTTGGAATCTTGGGAATAGGCTTCGTCTGGTACCACGCAACGCCCAGCTTTCATATCGTGCGTGACCAACGAACACCGGGCGGTTCCTAAAGATCGAATCAGCATGACGCGACCACTTATCACTTCAGGGAGCACGTCAAGATTACGCACCTGCCGGATTGATTGCATGAGAAGAAAACACCTGATTCATTTAGCATCCATCACAAGTACATAGCCTGCCTCGCAAAGAGATAGATAAAGATCACAAGTGAGCTCTCAGCGAACTGTTTTACAAAACATATGCAGTATATATAATATCGGACAATTTGATTCAACTCGTTCTTTTCTCTCGAACAGTCGGGTGGACATGCATACCCCTTCGGTGCCAGGACCCCTCCGTTTGGGGGTCGAACCCCTCCGCCCCGCGGCTCGGCCGGAGAGATCGGGCCGACGGGTCGCACGGCTCGGCCAGGACAACAAGCTCACGCCGGAGGAGGTGCATCAAGCGACAGAAGAGGTCTTGCACGAAGGCCCCTTTTGGGCGCCGGAGAGATCGGGCTACCGGAGACACCGGTTCGGGGGTTCTGCAACATCAACTTAGAAATTCTGCAAGCAGACCAAAATTATGACATGCCAGTAGTACTTGCATCGTGTTTAAGTCATTGGTTTAGATGTGGCACGTGCCTGCGAAACTCGGAAAAGTACTTCTGGGAATCAGGTTCCTGGCAACCATCTCCCTTTGCTGCTACAGTGCCCATTTACAGATCAGGGATGATCAGGGTGCCCCTAATCATTGTGTTTATATAAAGTTCTTAATCCATCCGGTTGAACAACCAATCAGTGCGTGCATTGTTTGTGTTGTTTGTGAGTGTGACGGTCATGTTCACACGTTTGAATCAAGGCAGCGGCATGTTGATCTTCGCCGCGGCCTCCATGATGTTTGCACTGCTAATCGGCAACATCCTCCATGAGTTCGAGGCCGATCCATGCCTGGCTCGGGTTGGTTGGGCCGGGATCACGTAGCAGTCCAGCCAGCTTTTAGGATCCACCTCGCTTTGGAGCGACAAACATGTGCAATTGAACATGCAACTACAAGCTAAGAGCCGGTCATTTGCCGGTCATTGTGCTTTGATCAAGCCACCAAGCAGTCACCCAAGCTCTGGTCCGCCTTCATAACTGTTGCTTTCCCTCAACGGCTCAATCTTGTGAGTCGAGTGAGTCCCAGGGGAAGAATATTGAAGCATTTGTTTTTTGTGTGGAATGAGTCATGGCCGTAGGAGCCTCAAGAATCTCCTGGGAACCCTCGAATGCCAAGCCTAAAAACAGCCCAAGTCTCCAGCGCCCTGTGGACATCCTTGAAGTCAATAACTCCAAGGCAAAAGTCCAAACGTCCAAGGTGAGCTTTATCTCGGAGTCCATGGTGATCATTTTGATCGGCTACGTCTTGGGCATCATTTTGCCCACACGTGGCGGATCAGTCGTCTCATGGGCCATTGGAGACGTCGGAGTGGAAGAAGAAGGACTTGGAAAGCGCACTGAACAGGGTCCTGTATGCTGTGATTTCCCGTAATTGTGTTCCTCGTCAATTATAATCAATTATAGTCATATGTATATTCATATATAATAATTATATAATGTTTCCACTGTACTTCTGCAGCCTGACATCGTCCCCTTATGACCCTTTCGACCGATGCTTGTCATTCTCCAGTTGGATGTGAAGTAGTCCTTCGTCCGGTCCTCACGTTTCTGGTCATTCGTCCGGTCGTTCACCCGGAGAAGGACTTGCTATGGCCGGAGTTCTGAACCTCTTCCTCCTTCCGATCATCATTTTCGAGGTTTCGGGACCTGGAAGGTGAAAGGATGGGGCCATAGCTGGGTGAGTGGGTCCTAAGTACCGGCCAAGCATCGTTCTTTTTTCTACACAGGAAGGTCCAATTGTAACTAGACAAAACTGGGGTTCAGGGTAGCATTTAGAAACCTAACACCTACTTCCAACTGCTTCAACCAGTTTGGTAAACTATGTAGTTGCTTTGGGCAGGTGATTGAAATGTTAGGTCGCTTTACTAAAGCAGGCTCATTTCACATATTTTACCAATTCTTTGCAGAGCATAGGGGGCCGTACTGAGCGGATAAAATTGGTGGGTTCAGTGCCTGGACTTTATCTGTGTGCCAGCCTGCCAGCAACCTATCCAGGGGGTCTATCCTCCAAAAAGATCCACCCAAGTAAGGAGTGTTTTGGGGGTGGATATTTTAGGGTCAGTGCATCAAAGCTACTGTATCCAGAATTAACGCACTACATTTTCTAGAATTTTATCCACTCGGTAGTGGGAGTAGAAAAGGAGAGAAAAGATAGAAAAGAAATAGGTTAGAGAGAAGAGTAAAAGACACCAGATTGAACAGCAAAGAAAATCAAGAAAAGAGAGAAGGGAGAAGGGAGACGAAACATGATCGCAGACGATGGCGATTCTTCTTGGATCCTGTTGAGCCTAGCCTAGCTGAAACTTGCGTGTCCGTTTTTTCATCTGGCATTTTGCTCGTTACCTGGGGTTACCTGTGCCCTTGGGGTGGGAACGCCATGGAAATTTGTCAAGGTGTCATTCATGTTCCCACCAGGCGCTTTGAAAGAAAATGAAACTGTTCATAAAGGATTCTTTTCATAATCTCATAGATTGTCACTATTCTTGTAGCAACAAACCTCAGACCGTGGATTTTTTCCACAATGTCTCCTGGAGGAAGTCCCCATGAACATCTCTTTGGAAAATTGGATCTTAAACTTTTTGTACAAGTCTTCGACCTGCAGGCAAAATATGCAACGCAGCAGAAAAATACAGAACCTGCCCAAAAACAAACCAACCTTCTAAGGTTTGCAGACGTCTGCAACAATCCGTAATTTAGACGCCAGACCACCACAGAGCATACAGGGCGCTGGAAAAAACCTGAGCCTGGGATTTTTTCTTTTTGCCTCCTTCGTCGATTAGCATCTACTTTTGAGGAGCGGCTTTGTCGATCCTATTCGTCTAGCTTGCTAACCTCAGGCCTTCTTAAAATTATCTATCTGCATAGGTCAGGGAGTTTTTGTTTTTTGGCCTTATCTTGACCCTCTAGCCTTCAAATTTATCCACCTGTTTTGGCTGAGACAGGGTTAGTCCCGGGAAAATATCCTGTACTGACCCTGGGTTTCAGTACAACCGGGTATGCAGAGCTCAGCTGGTGATGAGCTTTGGAGTAATGCTAAAGAATCAACGCAAGCCGAAGCATGAACATGCTTCAAGGAGTGGCAAGAGGTCCAAAACTTGAGTGGGCGCAAATTGGGCTTGCCGCTTCGGAACTGGTGGCATTTTACCGAAGAGAGTTGGCGCTCTTAAAGGCATGGTATGTATCCCAGTGCATCCAGTGATCATGCAGGCCACCACTTCCAAATACTCATCCGTAGACCATATACCCCAAAGTCCTGGTTCTTGGTTGGCCAAGGAGGGTCCACAGGGATACCGCAGGGGTTGCTCCTCCATCCCAGATTTGGCATAGTTTATATGATCGTTAAACTTGCACCTTGTCCACCCATCAACATATCTTAGAACATCTTAGAGCCCTGAACCATATGAAGGACTTTGGATGACCACCTTTTCACAGCATAGAACTGCTTCGACGCGACGCAGACTGCAAAGCCAACCCGTGTAGTCCCTGCTCCAACATATGACTTGAATCCCTTTCAGCCCCTCCTTTCACCAGAACTCCTTCGTCGCGCTTCTATCGGCCTTCGACCATCGATGTAGGCTGGCTGGTCCATGAACCACCGGGCCTTTGTGGACCTCATGCGGCTTGGACATCGAAGCGCGCCATTTGCATCCTTTTCACGGAGGTAAATGAGAAAAAAGACAAAACGCTTTGATGGAGCTAATCACTCCTGGACATAAATCACTGTCAAGAGCTTCACCAATGAGCTGGACTGCCGAGTCCTGTCTAAAGCGTTTCACTTTGAGCTTTGAACATGAAGTACGGACTTGCAGATATATATATATATATACTGTTGATTCTGAGAAAGTGTTTAGGCACGAGGGTTTTGGCAGTTTTTCTCGGCATGCCTTTTGTCGGAGAGATCTTGCAGGTCCATATACTTAAATGCCGACTCTGGGCTAATTTATCAACCCCCCTAGGGACTCAGATCTGCCGCCAGTGGCGAACCGGGAAATCACCTCTCAGCCCAGCACGTTCGCCAGTCGCTTTTTCGCATTGCTCCACACGCAATGGGTAACTGCTGCCAGGGAGAGGCCAAGGTGGCCGACCGCCACGTCCAACCTCAGAAGCCCGAAGTGACGGTCTTCTATGAGCGAGAGACCCATACAGTATGCGCAGTGGTGAGAGATCCATGCAGCCAGAAAGTGGCGGTGGTTGATTCCGTGATGGGCTTTGACTTCTCATCCGGAAACACCAACTCTCAGCATGCTGATCAAGTCATTGACTTCATTCGGAAGAACGGTTTTGAGGTTCAATGGATATTAGAGACTCATGCACATGCTGACCACTTGTCCGCCGCGCCATACATCCAGGAGAGGCTCGGGGGCAAGATCGCGATCGGTGAGAACATCCGACTTGTTCAAGAAGTCTTTGCAGGGGTCTTCAACCTAGGACCCAGTTTCCACAAAGATGGCTCGCAGTTTGACAAGCTCTTCGCAGATGGAGACAGCTTCCAAATTGGTGGCTTGAGTGCAAGTGTGCTCTACACGCCTGGACACACTCCTGCATGTGTATGCTACTTGATTGGTGATGCTTTGTTCACAGGAGACACCTTGTTCATGCCTGACTATGGGACAGCACGTTGTGACTTTCCAGGTGGATCTTCGAAGAAGTTATACCAGTCCATCCAAAGGATCATGTCACTTCCTGATGAGACCAGGGTCTTTGTCGGCCACGACTACCTCCCAGACGGCCGAAGTGACTTCACTTGGGAGACCACCATCGGCGACCAGAAGCGGAATAACATCCACTTCGGAGGCGGCAAGTCTCAGGAGGAGTTCTGTCAGATGCGCGACACGCGCGATGCCAAGCTGGCCCTTCCAAAGCTCCTGGTGCCATCAGTGCAGGTGAATATCAGGGCTGGTCGGTTCCCAGAGCCAGACTCTCGGCAGGTGGCTGGTGTTTGTTTGTGTTGCTGACTCTCATTTCGGGTGATCAACAAGTTCAAGGTCTAGGTGTGAGATTTGCTTTTTCATTACTGTGTTTTTATGTTCATCTACTTCCTCCTTTGTGGGTCACTTCTTAAAGAATCTCAGGATTCCAATGGTCATGTGGCTTTGACGCTGCCGATCAACAAGCTCAGTAACAGTGGGACTCTGCACCCATGAGTGTGCCAAAGGGGTCGCATTCTCACCCAACAAGAACAACTTTCCTGAGCTGGCTGTTGTAAGGATCTTTAGGTTCGCTTCAGAGCCAAAAAGACCCAAACCCTCCTCAACAGGTTTGAAGGTGTTATTTTTTGCAGACTATATATAAAGTCGCATATATATATATAAAGTCGCAGGTGGTGTCCTGTTGGAGTGTGCAGTGCAGATTGTAATTCTTTGATATTATTGGTTATTGTCTTGTCACTTATCAGATGGTATCAACAGCCAATGCAGTTTCTGCTGGCTTGGTGCTACAGGCCTTTGTGCTGTCAGTCATGCCAGTGCCCGTTTTGTGGGCCCTTTTGGTGGTGCTACCTGCTGAGCCAGGTAAGCTGCATTGCAAGGCAGAACGATCACGATGTGAGAAAACGATAGGCATTGCCGATTTGCTCATGCAATCCGTGCAGTTCGGGCGGTTCGCTGTGGTTCGTGGGGAGTCAGGATGTTGCAGAGGTAGCCAAGTCCTAATGGCTGTGCGGTTTGGAGCAACGGCTGAAGCTACTAGGACAAGAAGCTACGTTCGGGGCTCCTGGCATCGCTACGAACGGAGCGATGGGGCGCTACGAACGTAGCTCCTGGCCTTACTACTAGTAACAAGGTTCGCTACTAGGACCAAGAGAATCCAACAGAAAACCCGTTGGGACCTGGTGTCCGACCCGACGGGACTCCAAAGAAATGCGAAGAACGCTCGACGCGAACGGGAATGAGGATGAAGGACCCTCATCACGATAGCTGATGGATCCCATCACTAAAGCTTATGATGCTTATGGATCCCTGTGGATCATTGTGGATCCACAAAAACCATCATTCATCCTCATTCATCCTCATTCCTTCAGAATTGAGCACCTCATCTCAGTCTTTTGATCCTATCCTCGTCCTTGAGAGCACCAGTCTTTTCAGGCTGACGATCTTGACTTTCGCGGTCTTGGGAACATTGATCTCCATGGTGGTGGTGGGTCTTTTGATCAATGCCACCTGCGACGTTCACGGCGTTTGCTCTGCTCCCTGGCGTTCGATGCCTTGGGGGATGAGGGTGGCAAGTGAACCCCCCGATGTCCGCTTTAGAGCGGTTTTGCCCACTTCCGTGTTAGCGAGTCAGAGTTAGCGAGTTGCTTTGAAGAAGCGTCAACCAAAAGGAGAGGCTGCAACCACAGTCTGACCTTCAATTTCTCCTTTGACCGCTGCTCCTCTTGGGTGACGCTTGAGCACCCTTACAAATCCACATTTGGTAGAACCTCCTCCAGGAACGATAAGGTTCACAGAAAAAGATCATAATAATATTTTAATACATGTTGTTATGTTAGGTGTGTCCAAACCCTCAGGAACGATAAGGTTCGCAGACAAAACGATAACGTTGGGAAGAGGGCGCACTGCACCGCATAAGAGGTTTTGCACGTCGCTCATATGTGTATATGTATAAATATGTATCTGTATCATTCTATACTAATGTATGTATATGCTCTACCAGCTTTACCCGCAGTTACCGGACTGAGAGTCGTCACCATCATCATGATCATCCAAAGTGTGAGACCAGTTCATGACAGTTCTTCATTCTTTCAAACGTCAAAACATCCACCGCTTGTATTGGGGATCTCAATCCCCACCGGCCCACACTTTGTTTGCTTCACCCAATTGTCGTTCTCAGGTCAGAGCCGCCTTTACCTATGCGGCCTTGATCTCTGCAGTGGACCCTGTAGAGCCTCGACTCATCGCTGCTTCCTCCACCCCTGTGGTTCGTCTGGTTTGTAGATGGCCACAGTGCACCACTATGGGTGCGTTTTTGTAGTTATCCCACAGGTTGGGTCATAGATCAAGGGAGGCAGTCACAGAGAGAGAGAGAGAGACACAGAGAGAGAGAGAGAGACAGAGACAGAGAGAGAGAGAGAGAGAAAGCAAAGAAAACCATTAAGAGCAAACACACACACACACACACAAGTACTGGATTTTGTGTTCAATCTTTGCGCCTTCAGAAAAGCTGTGCATTGCTCAACAGTTTGAGACAGCATGGGCTTCCACTCCCAACTCCAATGTCTAGATGTTCAGCATCTTAGGCCACTTTAGCCACCTATGCTCATTTGCAAGTGGACCCCTTGCTGAACATTTGCGTTTTTGGCGAGTCCGTGGTGTCTTGGCTGGGTGGCTGGGTGCCGTGGTGTCTCGTCTCAGCACACTGGGTGGTTGGGCCGGGCCTCATTGCTTCAAGTGGGCCTTCTGCAAGAGTTCTTCCTGTTTGAGTGGCCTTGTGCAACTTGCATAGATGTTGTGTCATGGATCAGGCATTCCGAATGAAGACATCAGCACCCGCACCCTTTCAGAAATCAGGATTAGTGAGATTTGGGTTGACAACCCGGTATCATCATCATCGGACCGTAGTCGACGTACACGAATTCCAGCCATCCATTTCACAGCGTGCACCCCCCACCAATCAATACAGATTACATAACGACCAATTATGAATTCCATGTTTCCATTTCAAGCTTCCAATTGACTTGCAGGTGAATGATGCCGTGGCCATCGTCCTTTTCCGTGTCCTCAACACAGGCAGGTGGATGATACGTGTGGCCGCTGCCTGCTTGCTCCTTGATTCCTTGACACGTTCAAGTCAGGTGGTCTTTTTACTGACACCAGCTTTAATGTCGTCTCTGGCAGACGCTTGCCTCAACATCCTGGTGTTCCGCATCTTTGAAGTTGGATTCAATCGGGTTCACCAATACACTAGACCCGGCAATGTAGACTCGCAGAAACAACCGTTGAAGGTGAAGAATGGCATTTGGGAAGACTACCTTCCCCACTCAAAAACCAATGTAAAACAATGACTGACAGGCACATGGAAAAGGATGTCAACACCGTCGGCACATCGTCTCCACTCTCCGATCCTCGACTAATTGGTGCTCGTCGGTCCCAGGAATCGCTTCGCAGACGTCACTTTTGCTCTTCGGGTCCGTGGGTCTTGGAGTTCTCTTGGGCTTCATGCTGATGAGCCTCGGACAGAGGTCCGGACGGAAACAAGCTGCGGAGACAGACAGCACGGAATGCCGCGGGGGATGCCACAGGGGATACAGCTCTGTGGATCCGTAGAGTGTAGGATGTTTGTGGGTGAGCCCAGGCAGAATTCTGAGCCAATGATGCCAATGCTTGCTGTGATTGTACAGTTTTACTTAATATAGTAACTAAGTCTTCCGGCAACCTGTCCTTCAGACATCACCAGACGAACAGCTCAAGCTTTTCAATGCGGGTGGGAGTAATTACTGCAGTGTGTTTTCATGTTATTTTACCACCAGCCCTGTGCACAGCGCGCAAATGCGAATGCTGCCGTAGCGACGGATGGCAGTATGGGCTTGGATACTACCCAGCTCGACGTGTCGTCAAGATTCGAGTGCAAGACGAACAAAGCATGCTTTCCTAATGCCACACTCTTTTAAATCATTTAGATCATTTTAAAATAATGTATTCGAATTCTAGGCCTTCTATTCTTGTATCCACCATTCCGGCGAGTGGCCTTTTGAAGAGCTAGTTGGCCATCTATGAGTTTTGAGTTTTGACCAACTCTCAGTCCTAGTTCAGCATCTTTGACCGTGCAGGGACTCCTGGGTTGCATTCACCGTGATTCACCCTCGTTTCTTTCAAGCCGCAGCGACGCAGCATGAGGCTCATTACCAAAGTGAGCCGCGGCAGCCTTGGCAGACGTCATCACAAAACATCAAAAGAACTGGGCAAAAGAAGCTAAAGAGACGAATCAGAGACGAACTCGCGAACTCGCCATGTGAACTTGAGACCTCGGCGGAGGTCTCACCCATTCGACCAGCAACTGCGTCCTTTTCATGTTCTTGTCCAGCTTCTTCATCTACAGCTTCGCGGAGCGTGCGCACGGAACCCCAATGGGGACATTTGAGCCAAAAATGAATGCGGAATGTATGAGTGAGACATGTTTTGCCGTTTGTTGTTTGCATCAAGTTTCAATACTGCATATACGTATTAGGCATAAAACATGTATTTGTAGATGAATTGGCGACTTGCATGTTTTTGTTGCTGGAATGTTGACAAATCAGTTTAGGTCAACATGAGTACCATGAGAGAGTTGGAACACATGTTTTGTTGGTTCTGTAGTTGTACTAGCAGTTGAGTTGTACTATATTTGCATGGCATGCATGTCATGTTCAGTGGAGCGCTGCGGTTTCCTTATGCCCTTTCCTGCTTTGAGTGACCGGACATATACCTGCTTTTCATGGGGTTTGACCACCAACTGTCGATGCGAACCGAGCCAAACGGCTCCTCGGCGACGAGGTGTGGCATGTCCGGAATCATCACTGTGCTCTTCGGCGCCATGTTTGCCAGTGCATTTGCCAAGTACCAGTTCTCCAGTGAGGTGACCATGTTTTGTGCCCTGGTGACACATGACACGACGTGACACGAGGTGACATCGACATCAGAGGGTGTGATTCCGAGGGGGGCCATCTACTGTAGGTCAAGGCTTTTTAACATTTGCCGAACATGTCCTGTGTCAGTCCTTTTTGTGGATCCAGGTTTTGTTAAACAGGCTGGTGGAACATGGCTTTGCCAATGTGTGGGAGGGGCACGGGGCCCCACGATGTTTGCATATTTGTGTGTGTGTCCACTGTGCAGCACGAAAGCGTGGCGCGAGGTGCATTCACCTTGAAGCAAGCAGCCACTCTTGCTGACATGGCCTTTTGGCAGCAAGAGCAGCTCATCCCACAAGGATCAAATCGTATGACCATTCCCGAACGCTACATGGCAGGTATATAAGTTGTAGCTATATAAACCAGTCGTGCTTGGTAAGGACAAATCTCTTCATCAATTCTGTCCATGTTTCTTTGCAGGTCGTTCACTATTTGGACAGGTCAGACACCTAACTATACAAATTTACCACCAGTCTAATTCTGGCTCGCGCCTCAAGCTCAACCTGCCCCTTACATGGAAGTACTGACACTGCTTTTCAAGTCATGTGCCAAAGGAAGGCAGAGCCAGCTAGCAGTTTTGTCTTATCAAGATCATTAGGTCACAAGGAACCTTCCAAAATACCCCACTTGCGCCGCCGGTTTCGCGCTTCGCGGCGTTCGATACGTATATAGGCGGCGTCTATACAAATGCGCTCGTTTTTCTCCTTTCTTTCGCCCGGGGTTGATCGGCTGAGACAACTCTAACTTTGCCAAGGCTGGTTCTTGTCACAACATGTCACAACTAGGTTGCCGGTTTCTTTCTGTTTTTCTCTTGCCGAGGTTGCGGGGATTTCTGTTTCTCAAAGTGACAGGCCCTGTGATCCCGTGATTTCTGACATGTGATCACCGGCGTGAGATCAGGTGGTTTTTCTGATGGTGGGCATCACCGCGGTCTACTGCGATGTTGAAGGTCCGCCTGCGGTCTACACGAGACGGGCGGGCGAGCGGGCTGGCACTACTAGATTTTTGGAGATTTTTGGTACAGGCGGCAGATGGCGGCGGACTTCAGAAGCATCGATACTGGCGTTTGGTCAATAAAAAACACGTCTAAAGGATAAACCACAGCAGACCATTCTGTGGCACTTTCTGAATGCTCATCGATGTAAAGTGAAGTGAGCTACCCATGCTTTGGAAATTGAGGAATGTCTCTTATTTAAAGACATACTGTGTATATATATATACAGTGTATCTATAAGTACATACACAGTACATATATATATATACTATATTTGGACAGCCCTTTTTTCGGCATTGAGCGAAGAGAGAGCATTCTTCCAACCACCAGAGTGACCTTCCAAATGCATCCAAATGCTATATATAATCCCTCGGTGACTCGGTGGCTTTGCACCCATTTGCGTTCATTCCAGGCTTGGTCTTGGGATTGCTGGTTTGTGCCTTCTGCCTGGTGGGGCGAGCAGCAGCCGTGCCTGGCATAAAGAAGTCTTCATTAACTTTCTCAGACTTGTTGGAACCTGCGGAGCGGGCGATTCTGAAGGTTTTTCTGCACAGAAGAAGGGTCAGTGGTTCAGTGGAAAGAAGTGTTGCCGTAGTGGTTGTTTCCATCCAGCCTGTCACACAGCTGGGGCAGGGTCACCTAATTGAGGGTGATTCAGAGAGATGAGTCAGAATCTCATGAGGGTGTTCAGGGTGTGAAATCATGAGGTTTTTCCCTTGGCTTTGCTGACGAATCTCTGCAAGGCTGGGTGAAGACCGCCGGACCAACTGGTCGATTGAGGAACGAAGCATACTGAACACCACGACAGATGTAAACAATGATGTTCCTTGCTTCCACTGCGGATTTCATACTGTTTGTTAAATATAGAGGGGTAGAGTGGATGACTTCCCATGATACCCACCAATCAGAATGCAGCGCTGCTCGAGGAGATGTATCGAAGGGGACAGCCTCCAGAGAAGAAACTGACCCTGGACTGGCGGAAGGTGCACCTGAGTGATTTGGGAACGAAATGGTTGGGAGGCACTTGTTACTAGTAGCGATGCCACTTTTGGAACGATGCCCATGCCACGTTTTAACGAGACTGCAGAGTTGAGCATTTCCATCCAAAACCTGGAGATTGTGGAACTTGAAAAGCGCAGTAAGACCGTTGCTGCCTAAAATGTCAACTTAGCTCTTAACAGGCTGGCTGGCCGAGTGGCCTGTTTTTGTTATTGGACCTAAGCAAGACATAGTAAGACTCTTCGAAAGGTTGTTGGACCTAAATACTGGGACAAGATAGAACGGCATCCACTTCAGAGTGTCCAGATGTCAAGATCTTCCAAATCACTTGGTGAAACCACAAAAAAACATCCGAAAACACCAGGTGAGACTTCCTAGTTTGTGATGATTTTATTCGGCACAGACTCCAAGTGAGTTTGGGTGTCGCATCATCGGACGGTGCGTCGACCAGGTGGCCATCGCCGCACCCCACGCCATTTCGAGGGAGAAAAACACCAGCTCGGCCCATGGGAGGTTGAACTTGTGGGCATCCAATTCAGAAAGAATCCTACTACTCATGTTGAAAAGGAAGTCTTCCCACTTGGTATGGAAGTGGGAAGTAGGATTCCAATTGGTATGTTGAAAAGGCCGTCTTCCCACTTCCTGATGGCCTCAGATCTTCATGATGTGGCATGCCGGCCTCCGGGGCGGCCGCCCCGAAGCATTTGGACGGGTGGAGCCGCAGTGGGAACTCGGCGACTTGGGTGGGTTGGTCGGTTGGAAGATGTTTTGATCAACCGGCTAATGGGATGAATCATGTTTACGCGGTGGGTCAAGCAAGGCAGCAAGTTAAGAGGTGAAGTTTGGCCTGAAGGGCGCCTGAAGCTCAAATGCTTGTTTTGGAATCTGTCCAGATATTTCCAGCAGCCCTGATGGGACCAGACCAAATTGCGCCCTGGTTTCCTCTGAGTTGGCTTGGAGTCGGCTCAGATCACTGGCACAGGGCAGATACCTGCCATCGGAAGCTGAACAGGCCCAATAGGCACAGCTCATCACAGCTCTAGGAACATCATATGCAGGCATGTTCACATATATTTATTGACGTTTGAGGGATGAAAATGACCCTGGGTAGGTCACCTCAGCTTGAGACAATCGTGTGGGAGTCTTGATGTCAGGAAGTTACAGAGACCCCCAAAAGACTCAAACAAGCTTTTGAACCCTGGAATCATTTCATTTCACTGTCCAACAGGTCCATCAAATGCAATATGCATCCAAAAGCACATCCACGACAACTGGCTTCAGGAATTGCCTTGGTGCTCACATTGGAACTTGGCCCTTGGGTCGATCAAGAAAAGCCTGGGACCAAAGATCGGCTTCGGAATGCCACTGTCCTAGTCATCGTCGTGAGCTCAGTCGGCCGGTTCGGGGTCAGTTCGCTCGCTCGCTGGCTTCGGTGGCCGATGCAGATCGGTGGGCTGCAGGGTGCTTCTTTTGGCACAGGCCCTTCCAGTGTTTTGGCCAAGTCCATGTTTGTTGATCCATGGCTTGGCCCAAGTCTTGAGCTCTTGGCCGAAGTCGCGAAGTTTCAACGGAGTGCATACTTGGGAGATGGCGCTGGGACTTTGCTTTTGCACAGATGTCCAATTACTATATAGACAATACCAGGGGCCTCCATTGCTACTTTATTTTTTGCTACGTTTCTTT